AAGCTCTGTCAGACTCCTTCTCTACAAGGGTTTTTTGATCAATGCTGTTATTTTTCCTCCATTATAGTACTCAGACTCAGACTCAACCCATTCCTGGAACAGGTCATCTTCCAGACCTCCACCACAGGACTGATAGCTCCCACTTGTGCTGTATGGGATGCTCTCTCTTTTCGGAGATTCTCCCAGCCACACAACTGGTTGGCTGATCTAGCATCTCCCATGTTCACCTATCACATGGAGCTGGAAATAGAGACACGCTTTACCTAGGGGAATATTTTAATACAAGCCATTTTGCTCAGTGAGACCTAAAGCCCTGGGCCTTCTCTATCAGGCCACTCATGATCAGCTTGGTAGCTTGTGCTCAGAATAAGTTCAGACTAACTGGATTTTGCTGCCTTTTTCATGTGATACTGACAGTCAAAAGAAACCTCTCCTTTCATCTCTTTCTAGTCAGTAAAAAAAATGTTTAGATAGAAAAATATCAGAGACCTGAGGGCACCAGGAGGCCTTACTGGGCCTAATCAGCCTCACCTGGGCCTAATCAGCCTCACCTAGGCCCCCCCACCTACTTACCTGCTGCTCTGCCCGTGGGGGAGCCCCACTGCAGCCAAGCTCCAGTGTGGAGCTTGGCTGTGGTGTCCCTGTCCGCTGCTACTCCAGCCCTGCCCTGCAATGGCCCTGGGACTTGGTTCACCCCGACCACGCATGAGGCTGTTGAGCCGGCATATTTTAGTGCATGCTGCTCTGGTCCTTAGTTTTCTGACAATATGAGACCTCAGAGTGAGCTGTTTATATTTAGTCTTAATAATCTATTCTGTTTTACTGTTTTGGTTTACTTTCTCAGATAACTTTTATGCTCTGTCAAAAAGTTCCTTGACTTTTTCAGAAGCTGCAGTAGGTAATTTCATAGCCGGCAATTTTTGCTGTTGGATTCTAATTTTACAGTTCTGCTCTGGTTTTTAAAAACTAAGGACTATTTTATAGAAAAATAGTACTTCTCTGTTAACTGTATACTAAATCAATTTATGTGATTAACAAAATGGATTTGAAAGATCTCTCACTTACATGAGTAAGAGCTGCTCACCTGAGTAAGGGGTTTTCAAGACCTTGTCCGTTTTGTTTAAGAACAAGAATATCTTTCATAAAATGCCACCACTGACCAGAGAAGCAAGGTGTCTTGACAAGCTTGACTGCAAAAGTAAAGATATCTGAGCTATTGGACAGCATGACTATAGGAGAGTTAAACTGTGATGAGGCTTTTTCTATCGAGCAGACAACTGTCAGCAAGAGGCACTGTGTAGCTCATGACATCAGCTTTTATTTTCCACTACATCCCTCACAACTTGCATGACATCTGCAATAGTTTGTTTTCTAGCTGTTGATATATCAGATAATGTTAAAGATATATTTATCATCAAGCAATCCTTTCTAAATCATTAAATGAAAAGTGTATGTAGTAGTAGTATATGTAATACTAGCAATACTTGATCTTGCCATGGAGTAGAGTCTGACCTGGAATGACTTCCTCCAGCCTCTTTTAGCCTTCTGGTTTGTAATACAGTATTATGCATTCATTAAAAGTATCCCTGGTTATGTTCCCATTTCCTTATCAGATGAATCATGAATGTGTGTATTAACGGATGCCAAAATAAAGTTTCCTGTGATGGACGCTTGCCATGTTGAAAAGGGAGAATTGCATTTTGTATCAAAAAAGTTGGTCAAGGGGAAGTTTGGGCTAGTGATCAAGTTCTCCCTAAGATGTTAAAGCTACACTTGATGCAAGCATGCTCTCATAGTTAAACGAAAAGAGTATGCCCTTCTCTTTCATGTTGAGGCCTTACCATGGTTATCAACATATATGTTGCCACAGAGAACTCTACCTCAGCATGACTTCAAATTTAGAAACTGAAGCTAATACAAATTTTGTTTGCCCAGTGTTTAAAGAAACGCTTACTTAGGCTGTGTAACAGATAGAATATTCTGAACTGGGATATTGGCAGAGGGCATTTCTGATGAAGGATCTTCGCCAATTAAGAAAAATTTGATGTGGTGGCCTAGGGCTTGCATTTACAGACATTCAGGTCACACTGCAATGCCTGACTTCTCTTCCACTCAGCCCTTGTCTGATGAGAGGTCTGAAGTGAGGAGGAGAGTGGATTGCAAAGGATTTTTCTTTTGCGGACTGGTCTATATTGTATTAGTTATAGGGGCTTTCCAGTCTTCTATACAGCTTAGGAATTTTAATAACTCCAACCTAGTAGAAAAGTAATGTACAGTACATACAAAAGTCAGTATTATCTTGCTGCTTTCAAGCCTATGTTGTAAAAGGGCAGCAAGGAATCCATATTGCTTACCTATAAGGTTATCTCACTGAACTTTTAAAAATGTGCTTATACACATATCACAAACCCCAGAAATTTTAGAATTGTGAAGAACTGATGATATATCAGTATTGTAATGTTCACAGCTGTGAATCCCTTCAGGTAAGAGAATGATTGATCTCTAACCATCTTCTATATCATGCTGAGCTTCTTTACTCTTCATGTTTTTCCTCCCCCACCTTAACTTTTAGTTAAATTCAAGCTTCAGTACTGGCACGTATAATCTCAGTTGCTAGAATTCCATACTTCTTCAGTGTCAATAGCTGTTCAGCTGTATTATGTTATGTAGTCTATCCTGCATGGTCTGACTTGTCGTCCTGTTTTTAATTGAGTATATGATTGTATGACTAATAGTTCACTAGACTCCATATGAAAGTAAAGACTATTCAAAAGGAGAGAAAACATCGTAATACCTAGAGCAGGAAAAGATAGGTATTTTGGAATAAAAAACTAAGCTTTTTTCTGGGCTTATTTGTCTGCTTTATATGTCATACTGTGCTTGACACTTACAGATACAGATCTGGGCCAGAAGTCTTTGAGCACAGATAGGATTGACAGGGTTTAAGTTATAGAGATATCACTAATTTCAACTGCGATAGATCTGATATTTGATTCTGCATTTTCTGCTTCATTGCCAAATCATGCACGCTATAGTCAGATATTTGTAGATTTGTAATTAACAATTTTGAGGAGGGTATTTTGTTTAAAAGGTATATTCAAGCATCTTGGAAACTAGTAAATAAATTGCCTGTATTTGATGAGAACCCATGGCATTTCCTATTAATTCTTCTTACCTAGGACAATAGCAAGCAAAATTTTGCTGAAAATATTTTAATAAATCAAGGAGGCAGAATATTTAAAAGACCTTGGGCTCCAGAAAGTTGCCTGTGACCACAAATTCCCTATTGAAATTATTCACCCAAAGTCAATAAATTACTCTTTCAGTACTTTGAGTGAGTAATGAGATATTACACTGATATATTTCTTTGCTGCAGGCAGATTTCATTGAAATACTGTAGAGGCGAACGGATAACATAAGCAATTTTTCAGTACAGTTTGATTGTGGCCATATTCTGTTCTGACCTGGAAGAAAGCCACCTTCCTCATCACCTGAACCTTCCTTAGAGCCTACCTAAGGTTAAACGAACATAAATTCACCAGTGCCATATCTTACCATACTGAAGGCGCAGCCAGAGACATCCTTTTGGCTAAACGAGGCAAAGACCGAGAGTCAGTATACCCTTCGGAAGTGCATGGATTTAGGCCTCACAACGCTCTAGAGAGTGTTTACTGACATTTATCCTTCAAAGGAGGAAGTCATACAGCATCATGACATGCGCTGCCTCTTTTCCCGCCACCCCACAACAGTCATTTGATGGCTTTCACATACAAGAGCGTTACCCTAAATGTGCAAAAACACGTTTTTTTATTGGTAGTTGCGTCTGTGGAGGATACCAAATATCTCAACATAACTGATAATAACTGTAATTTCTAAAACTTCTTCCAAAAAGGGAAAAATTTTGCCTCATAGGCAAATCATTCCTGTTCTGACAGATACATGTGTTCATGACGATCACAAAGTGAAATTAAGAATGTCATAAAGGGTGATGATCAGAATATGCAAAAACAAGTTTTAGGCTGAGGCTTGCAAGCTGAACTCTTTAAAAAGCCCATACAATTTACCAGTTTTCATTAAAAAACAAACAAACAAACAAAAATTCCTACAAGTACAATGCAAAGTTTTAATTTCCCAAATTCAGCTTTACAAGGTATTCAGTTAACCTGTTTATTTTTATGTTCATTATTTTTCCCAACTTTTAAACTATATTAATACAGGGCTATGTGACAGGTCTGAACATCAGTATCACTCATTTTGAATTTGTCCTGAAAACAGAAGTAGGTCAACTAAATATTGTGAGGTTTAAATTGTACTGAATAGTAGAAGTTCTTTTTTAACAATAGGCTTTCACTGATCAAGAATGAACAAAAAAATTTGTATTTAGAAATGTAAAAAAGGGATCTACTTTTTCAGATGTGTGAAATAACAAAAAGTAATAGGATTAAGTACTTCAGTATAGACATATAGCTTTATTTTTAGATTCCCCAAGACTGAACCATTTTTGCTATTTCTGTTGAAGAGGGTTTTTGAGAAGCAGGCTTTCTAGATGATTTCTTTCTTTTGGTATTTATAGCAAACCTATTTTTCCCTGTGCCACTACTATGTCACTTCTACATTCATTTTTCTTCTTTTTTTTTAAGCCCTCGTGGCACTCTTCGAGCATGACTGCTCATCTACTAAAAGGGATAGGTGGCCTTTTTTGTGGGTTTTGAGGCTTATATTCAAGTCCTTTAAGAGCTGTCAATCCATACAAAGCAGATTCCACAAGGACAGTATTATAGTCACAGAAATTTTATTTTTAACCTTTTGAACAAGTGAAAAAACATTAAGTATGTGAAAAAGCTTTAACTGTTATTATTTGAATATTATCAACGTGAAGATCAAATCTGCTAAGATTCTGGAGGAGATGATTGAAGTCATGAGGAGCTTGCTTTCCAGTGCACTTAACTCCTATATCCTCAGGATACACTGAGCTTTCTTATTTTTTTTGTATTGTATAGGACCGGCAATGGAGAAGAAGGCATGTTGTAGGAAAGATCCTGGAACATGCAAACCCTTGCTCCGTGCCAGAGATCTCCGCTAGACTTTGTGCCTTCTCCAGTTCCTTCTTGAGAGCCCAGCACTGCACATCTCTGAAGTTACGTGAGCACCTAACCATGACAATACACACATATAAGGATTTTTTCAGAAGCGCCAATTCTTCTAATAGGCTTTAAATCAGTGGAAGTTAGACATTGGAAATGTCACTCACTGTTTATCTGCAACTATAAATATTTTCAAATCTGTGGTTAAACCATTTATATTTGTGATTTAACTACACTGTCTTCTCTATGAACATTACTGCATCATCACACATTGTCGATGCTTGTTTATTAATGGGTTTTTTTATTTTTAATAAAACCCTCCTAAGTATGTTTTTTGGGGTGGCAGTTGTTTCTTGTCAGAAGAAGCAACTGCTGGTAATGAGGGTTATATTTAGATCTTTGCGTTTACTGCATAAACGAGTGTTTGTCCATTAACATTTTCCACAAATGTAAGCTCTCCCAGTTTAAAACACTTAACTTTGCTTTAACATTCACTTCCGTCTGCAGGTGAACAGGGCCACCAGAGCCACTATAGTTCCATTGACTTTCCACATGCACCAGGAAGAGAGAGAGTGTCTCGAGCCTTTGTGCAGAGGGTGAGCATCCTTTCTGTCTTTAAGCTGTAAGTTGAACACAGCCAAGAGTGAAGAGTAACAGAGTTGAAGCTAAAGCAAGCATTTGGCCTAAATACTCACATAGTATTAGTCTTAATTTTTGTTAACAAACACGTTGTTGCAGTTATTTTTGCTGTAGAGATGCCTGCAGCTGGCACTGTAGACCAAAAATGACCTTGTATATCCAGGCTCTGTAAGAGCTGAAGCTGTCACTGGAGTATCACCTTCATAGCACCAGCTGCTGCTGTACTAGAGGCTGTGCAGCACGCAACAGCCTTAATCACACACAAGAAGGGCAGTACCTACTCTTTAGAAGCTGGTTTGCAGCAGTGACTGTGTTTAATGCGAGTTGAATGAATGCTGAGGGACCAGAACGGACACTTAATCTAAATTTATTTTTCTGTTTACTATTAATCTGCCTTTCGGCCATTTTTCATTTTAATACCAGCAAAGGACATAATGTGTTTCTACTAAGAAAATAAAAAAGTATTTTGCATTAGCTCATTCAGATCCTCTAGTGATTACATTAGGACTCCTGCTTGCTTTCCTTTTTATGGCATATTTTTCATTAACTCTTTTAAAAACACTAATCATCACAATACGCTTAGTCTAAGAGCTTAGTAGCTGATACTCCAAAGTGTTGCAGCCCACCTTCCAGAATTTCCCATAAGGCAGCCTCCTCGTGGCTAGACCCCATTGTAATGTGTGCTCCATAACCTTAAATGAACTCTTCCCTTCTCGTGCTGACACTTTGTTCTGTTTTCACAGGCTCCTAGAATAATTAAGGTTGGAAGGGAACTCTGGAGGTCAGCTGGTCCACCACCTCTCTGGGCAGCCTGGTCTGATTATTAGCCACTGATAAAGAATTTATTTCTGTATCTAACTGTAATTTCCCTTGCTGTGGATTGTATCTGTTGCCCCTTGTCCTATTGCTGCGCACCTTTGAGAAGAGTCTAGCTTCTTTCTTGCCGATACCCTCCCATTATGCAGTTGTAGACAGTAATTAGTTTCCCTTTAGCTTTCTCTTCTTAATGTTGAATACAATTCTCTCAGCCTTTCTTTGTGTATCATGTACTCCAGCCTCCCGACCATCTTGGTGGCCCGGCACTAAACTTCATTATATTCATGTCTGCCTTGTACTGGGAAGCCCAAAACTGGGCACAGTACTCCAGACATGATCTCAGAAGTGCCATACAGAGGGGGAAAAAATCACTTCCCTGGATTTGCTGCCTACACTCCTGCTAATGCAGCCCAATATGAGGTTGGCTTTCTCTGTTGCAAGGGCACACCGCTGATTCCTGCTCAACCTGTCCACCAGAATCCTCAGGATCCTTTTCTGCAAAGTTGCTTTCTATACAGTAGGCTCCCAGCCCGTAGTGTTGCATGGAGCTATTCCATCCCAGACGCAGGACTCTCAATTTGCCTTTTTTTGTACGCAGTGAGGCTCCTGTCAGCACGTTTCTCCAATTTGTTGAAGTTCCTCTTAATAGCAGCCGTGCCCTCCACTGCGCCAGCTGGTCCCCCAGTTTGGTGTTGTCCATAGTCTAGCTGAGAGTGTGCTAGGTCACGTTACCTCAATTATTAATAAAGACATGACACAGTATTGGCCTTAGTATTGAACCTGGCAGTATGCCACAGGTAACTGGCCACCAGTTGGATGTTGTACTGCTGATCATTGCACCCAACAGTCCAGTCAATTACCCACCCCTTTTATCAGCTGTTTATTCAGTCCATTTCTTCCCAATCTGACTATAAGGCCTTACTGAGGTCAGGATATACAACATCCAATGCTCCACAACATCCAAGGTGGGTGTGATGTTTGCCTTTTTCTAGTCATCAGGAATGCATCCCAAAGCAGATTCTCAATAAAAATAGCCACTCCCCTCAGCACCCTAGGGTGCATCCCATCTGTTCCCATGGCCTTGTGCATGTCCGGTTGGCTTAAGTACCCCCTCAACTCAATCTTCCTCTGTTGTGTCTCAGGATATTATAGTACCAACTCTCAAGCAGTTTTAATTTTTGAATTTTTAAGGGAAAGTGATATGACATGCCAAATAAATAACAGCAAATTAACCCTTCTAAATTTTGGAAAATAGCATTATGATTTGTTAGTTGTGTAGCATAAGATAATATAAACAGGGTAAAAGTTTGAAAGGTAGGTTTAAAAATAAAATTAACTAGAATATAAGCAATTCTTTGAGAATGCAACAAGAAATAATTTTGTTTATAGTCTGCTATACAATGTCAGAATCAGGACTTTCTTTTTTTTTAAAGAAGGAAAAGTTAGCATCGCTATTTTATTATTTAGAGTGAAGTACATTGAAAAGGATGCAGTTAATGGTATAGACCAATACTCAAAGCTCCTGAAAACCAGCACAGAATTTAAGCAAAACTGTCATTAGGCCCTCGGCTGACTTCAATATAACTAAGTAGATTAAAGAAAAGTGCATTCTCCCATCTTCTATCACCTTTCTTGACTTAAATTCTGTTTGTTTCCCCATTCTTTAGGAGCAAGTGTATTCAAAGTTTGCAGGGCTTTTTCTTTCCATGAGAATTGCTTTCTTTAGGAATTAAAAAAAAATACATCACAGTGGCACCTGGCTTTCAGTTGAATATTTAATTGCTTTCCCAATATCCATCCAGATGGACGAAAAATACTTCCTATTTTCATGGGTTGATCTTCTGACAGGTAAACAGTGATCATCATTTTTGCTTTTATGTATATAGTTTTTATTTTTAACAGAATATGCTCTTAAATAGCAAGTATGTTGTTCACAGTATCAAAAACTACAAATATAAATTCACAAGATTCAAAGCAAGTAACTTCAGTTTACAGAATCTTCCCTTAGTGGCATATTTAATAATATAGAATATCAATAATTCTTTATGTGGGCCAGAAATTAATTTCCTGTCTTACTAATACTTTCTTTAAAGGTTTTAATCAGTTGCTTTTTTGAGACTGTTCTCAACTTTAAATTTCTCATGAGACTTGAGCACAGTAAGAATTAGCTATAGGCTTCTGTAAATTGATTCATCATCACAAAATTTTGTTTAAGAAATTTAAATAGTGTGTTTCAAATAGGTAAGTACGAGGTTCACAGACTTTTATTATGAAACAAATTGTATCTTAAAACTTACATTGCATATATTGTAAAGAAAGTTGATGACCTGAATGTGTCAGTCATAATCTTTATGTACTTAACCGCGTAGAGGGTGAAGAATTATATGCCTTCTCTTCTGCAAGGGCAGGAAAATCAGCATGCAGAGAGGTTGGCAAGGATTTCTGATTCACTTGGAAATAATGTATCAGCCTCACTTTTCTGAAGACTTTTTTTGTCTCTACCTAGTACTGTTAACCAGGTGCTAATTGCTCGTGTCAGATTCCCCACTACTATACACAGAATGCACGCTGTAGACAGTAGACTATAGAAACATTTGACATTAAATTCCCTTTTTCTCTCAGAAAAGGAAAGCCAGTAAGAACATTTCGAACACTTGTCACCACACAGCGCCATTATAAGATGCACTAATTATCACGCTTTGCTAGCTCACGAAAGCCTCCGCCTGACCACGCAGCACTGCTGGCAGACGTCAGCCGCAGCCTGGATGCAGCACAGCGCAGAGTGAGGAGTGCTGCAGTCGCTGCCCTTTCACGTGAGCTGCACGCCATGATACTCACAGAAGGCTACAGCCTTGTCCCCCCCTTACACGCACTCCCCTCCTAAAGAAGCACCTGGCAGTGACCACTCTCATTAGCAGTATGTTGTACCAGAAGCTTTTTTTGTTTAGGAAGGCCGGAAAATGTTGAAAGCACCCATGCTGTGCTGTAAGCAAATTCAGTATAACTGTGGCATTAAGTCCAGATAAGATTAAACTGTGTTACATTATTCCAGTTTAAGCTTTTCACTCAACTCTACGATGTTGAATAGAAAAGGAAGTGCTATTTCCTTAGGTGGGAACTGGATTCTTTTTGTGGAACAATGACCCAGTAGACACTGGAAACAATAGCTTGAACATTTGTTTGTGGCAAATGTTTTGGTGCTGGCTGCTGAATGCTTTCTGAGCAGAGTACCAGCCCTGAACGGGTACCGGGGGAGAATTCTGATTAATACGGTAAAAAGGGGGAAAGGAGCAACACACTGCTGCAAAACTGGCAAAAATTAAAAAAACACTTTTTCCAAAATGGAAGATATTTCCATGATTGCCAAAATACTTTAATATGCTAACAAATTATTTCACCAGTTCACAAATTTATAAATCAGAAACTTGATCCCCAGCTGTCTGAAAATAACATGAGTATTTCTATCTTGTAATCCTGGGAATTCTAACAGAAATAGGTAAAGAAAAACAAAATCAAGTAATATAAAGTAAAGCTAGTGTTATTTTGAAGTACGTTATTCCAATACAGATTTTTAAAATTAAGTCTTTTTTATATAAGGTGAGGCTTCCACTGAAATGGGAACAGATGATTAAAATGCATTAAGGTAACATAGTTCTATAAAGAAGATTTTAGCTTTGAGTAAAAATACACTGCTGATATTACATATCCAGCAAGCTACTGCTAGAATTTTATCTGACATTTTGTTGACATTTGGTTTTTCTTATGTTCTGTTATTAAACTAACAATTAACAAAAATCAATAAAACCAATGATTCATAAATTGATGTGCATGTTCTAATATGTGAAGTATTTTTTTTGGAAATGTAAGAAATCAGAGCTATAAAGTTAAAGTATCCATTTAAAATTAAAAAGGAATAAGCAGAAACATCCCTCATTAAATACTTTTTACTAAAGAAAAGGCTCATTATCCTTTTGTGCAACTCATGAAGTCCCCATCAATCAGCTATACAATCCATAATTATGTAACATTTTTCTGCCAACACAGGTGAAAAAATTCATAGCTGGAGTTTGATGAACTCCAGGGATGCAAGGGACTGTGAAAGGGATATTGGACTTTACAGTCATGATTTTGAAAAATGACCACTTTGAATGCCTTAATATTTGGGTTTTCAAATGGAGATGCTTTTAAGCCCCCTTTAGGTTAGTTCAATAACTTCCTTCTGCACTATCCAGACCGTATCTAAAACCTTCATAGAACTGTGCAGAAATCCTGCAATAGAAAATTCTGAAACAGCTAAGTGGTATGTTTCTTAGCGCCATGAGATGATATTTTGCTTGCAATAAGCATGCAACGTAACCATGGGCACTTTCATTATGTACATACACGTCTAATCCTGTTTTAAAGTGTGATACATTGAGTAAAAAATGAAAATTCTTTTGTCTTTCCTTAATCATTATATTTCAGACGCATTTTCTTCTGTTTACTTGGCTCACTGACTGCAAATCAGAACACTCATCTTTTCTTCTGCCTGTTAATCTATTTTTGGTGTTCCTATTACTATCACCAAAGTTTGAAACATCCCCCTACTTTTTTTTTTTTTTATTGAAATAGAGAATAGAATTAAAACAAAAACCTTTGGATACTAATTGCTTTGCTCTCTCCAAAATGTGACCTCTTCCACTATTCTCTCTCATTATCCCCTCCCCTCAAACAGATCTTCTCTAAATTACTTCCCCTGCCCCCCAATCTAGCCCCCTAAGGAAATCTTTTACATTTCTATTTCAATATCCAATGACAAGATGAAAAGTAGCATGCAAGGTAAGGATAAAACACTAATTGATAGAAATGTGAAATGACAGTAATGGTCTCTGTTATGCCCATGGTTAGAGACTTCCGTATAATAAAAAATACTCCATAGCTGGTATTTTTTGTCCCTCTAGTAATATTAGTTAAGATAATATT